TTACTTTTATTAAACAGATAAACCATATTAAACTCAATTCATAACACAATCAGGCGTATTTCAATCAATAGCTATTTCTTAAATACAATACTATGATATCAAAGTGATACCCGATAACTTTGTCTATTATTATTATCATTAATTCATTTTGCTCTTATTATGTGTCTAAATTATTGATAAAAAAAGACGATGTAGAAAATACTGATTAAAAACTGTATTTATACAGTAAGAATAACGGTAGTGGTTTTGATTTTAAGTGTTACATGTAATAATAAGAATATATGTTTGGTGTATTATTATGTTATACATGATACTTACTAGAAGTACACATAAACTGATAAAAATGATTCATTGTTACAGGACTAGGTGCTGGTATAGTACATTATTGTGCCAATACCATAATTGTCCGACATTTTAGCTCAAAATGGTGTCCACTAGCAATAACTATAGCTAATTCTGGTTCAGCTGTAAGCTCTCTGGTATTTCCACCTGTATTGACAGCGAGTATCCAAAGTTACGGCTGGAAAACAACATTCATGTTGCTAAGCGGAACATCAGCCGTTGGTTTGTTCAGTGCTGCATGTTTTGCGCCACATCAAAGTGACACGGAAATACATCAAGCCAAAGATAAATCCAGTGACGGTTAGTTTCTTACCTTTCAGATCTATGAAAGAAAGCACGGCAATTTCTTCATTTTCATGTTTTCCTGGTGAACGTTTTGGTGTTGATCAAGACAAAAACATATTCTTTCATACAAATTTCAATAGTGTCATTTTGTTGTGCATCATTTGTTTGTACAATATGCTCAAAATTTGCTAAATAATTAGAATTAAACGTTTCATTTCTATAGACAGTATCAATTATTATTGAAGTTGAAGTTTTAAATTTACCAAAAGATTAAATGATGTTCAAATGCTTGAAATTATGTTACGCGCTACAAAAAATCAGATTTTTCCCCAGAATTTCATTTAGATGTATTTATATTTAACAGATTTATGATTTTTTTCTTTGTAAACTTATGAATATCGTCTACTTGAAAATATCCTATTACAGGCTATAATTTATGTTAATTATTCTGATTCTTTTCTAGATACCATGGGCCAGCCAAAAGGTAGAGCAGACCCTATAAACACAAGAAAAGGACATTCTGCAGGTTATCAAAAATCGAAAATTCATGTTGTTCTTCCTCTCTAGTCTCATTACGTTCACAGCCCTCTTCGTTCCTTCAACATATCTGCCTGATTTTATGCGATATGCAAGACATTCACCGACAGAAATTTCATTTTTTGTCATTATAATGGCTTTGGAAACTTAATTGGTCGTCTAATAAGTGGAGCAATTGCATGTAAATTCAATAAACATGTGCACTGGATCCATAGATTTTCACTTTTTGCATCGACTTTATATCGCTTATCATCGAACAGTCGCTTATATTTGTGATTCTTTTATCGGTGCTGTTTGGACTATTCTCGGGTAAATCGATTAGATTTTTCTTTTCATAAACGATGAAACTGTTTTTTTTTCATTTCGTATGCAGTTCAAAGAAAGTCAAACAAACTGTAAGATAAATTCAGAGTTTGAGAAATATATAAATTATAATGTAAAATATTTTATTTGAATACTTTGTATTTTTCTATGTTCGTTTGTCTATATTTAGAGCATCTTTATTCCGTTGTAGGGGGTACTTTGGCCTACATACTGCAGTAATTGTCCATTATCTAAACAAAAATCAAATTCCTTTTGGATCTGGAATGATAAATGCAGCTAATGGAATAGCTATTGTCACAGGAATACCACTAGCTGGTAAGAACTATGTATATGTATGTGTTCATCCGTGCTGTTCTACAGAAATAAGAAACTTCGACGGGAGCGATAGCGGCAGGATAATGTTTCTGATTTCTGTAGAACAACTACGGATGAATACAAATATATTAAGTATCAAGCTTTATTTGTCCTAATTACTATTCACTTTATTACGTCACTATGCGGTTCTATAAAGTACAATGAAAAATAGAAGGCGACTATGAACAGAATTCGATATAGTATCGGTTTTTCTTCTTCTTCTATGAAAATTACCGCACATAACTTTCAAGAAATGCAGTGTTTTCATTGGATGACAAATAAAGTTGGACACTAAATTAAATTTATTCAAGTATATTATTTTGATTGATTTGTTTATCCCGCTTTTTCAATATCTCTTGTTTTTTTCTACGGTCCCTGCGACTTTGAACTCATAATATATTACAACAAAGAAAATTTCGTTTGTCGTAACATAACATGAATGGACGACATTCAATTAGAATTATGCATACAAAAATATTTTTTTGAACACAGCCAAATAAATGACACTCATATAAACGACATTACCATCTAGTAATGATATAAATCTCTTGTCTCTAAAACCAGGTTTTGACAGATGTCAATAAAACTTCATTTAAACACCAATATAATTATTTTGTGAATTAACCACATTTGATTCGGGTTTTTTTCAATGTTTTATGTCAGATGAGTTTGATGGAGAAGATGGGGCATTTGTCTTTGGAGGCTGTATGATGTTTCTTGCAACGATGGTTATGTTTGTAAACATGCTCATTTCGTTCGTAACGAGAGATGATAATTGCCTTGAAAATGAGCTTGAAATTACACATCTCTAGTTTGTTATATGTGATCTCTTTGCAGTGATTTGAATGATGGTGGAGGTGTAAGCTGAGGTCAACTGTTGTCACTTTATGGGATTGATTAATATATCTGTAGACACTATTTTCAGTTATATAATATTGCTGATGTTTTATGAGAAATAATTTTGTTAAAATACAATGTGATAAACATGTATATATGATATATATTTCTATACATGTATATTAAACGTAATTTGAAGCTGAAATATTTATTTAAATCATGCATCCATGTAGACGTAAAAGAATTACACAGCAGATGATGTCATTTATTGGTTGGTTTTTACGTTGCAACAATACAATATAGACCATATCGCGACTTTCCATCTTTTCTTGTGGAGGAAGACTTCGGGTGCCCTTCCGTGCATTTTATTTCAGGAACGAAGGGGCACCTGAGTAGAACCAATGACGTTCTATAAACTAGCTCTGTAGCTTCCCTACTTGAAAGAATCTTAAGTCCCTGACGTTATTTTATCCGAATCCACAGCGGTAAGAGGCAACTGGTTTGAACTCACGACCATAACAACTCGACCACGGCGCCCCTACAACGCGGTTTTGTTGCTCTTTAAACACTAATTTTGGTTAAATATGACTGTGAAAGTATTGATTAAATATATTTTGTCGCGTTTTGATGATTTGTTTAATTTTCAGGACCCCGCCTTTTTAGCTAGTAGACATTTGCTTACATTAATTTGTATTAATGCAAAACATTTATAAACTGTTATAATTCAACCACTACCAGATCCATCTTTAAATAAATGAGGTCATGCAAGTAATTTATCAATTACAGTTTCCTATAAGTATTTGTATTTTACAGAAAACATCTTTCTTGAAACATTTTATAACTTATATTCAAACGAGGATAACTATGGCCCCTGAAAATCTAAAGATAACGGATCAGGGCCAGTCTTATATTTTAGCTTATATTATTATTCGAAAGTGCTTTCAATGAAATAGCATAATGAACCAAAACGATACTTGTTTGCTTTTTATAAATCATGACAACACCTAATTCACATTCAAGAGCATCATTTTTTATATAAATAATGAACCAAGAAGTATTATTGAATAGCATCCAAAAAGAAAAAAAAATGACAGAAAAGCTAGCAGGACAAAATTATTGCTTCTTCAATTTAAAAATTCAGCGGTAGTTAATAGACTAGGGCAACTTGAACATGTATATGCCGTTAACATAGAAAAAAAGACAACAGGTGGTCAAGAAGTATTTTGTCATCCCTTAAATGTTCAGAAAAACATTTTACACAAGACACTATACAACATCAAGTTTTAAATTTTGCCGTTTTGGGGGATCTTTTTTTCTCTATTGGATAAAGTTCAATAAAAAAAATGCAGGTTAAGAATGAACGTTGAAATATACATAGATTGTATCAGTATTCAAAGAAGCTGAATCGCCCATACTCTCATTTTAATACCATGTTGACCCTAAAGCGTTCAGTGACAGCAGAAGTAGTATTAACTTTTTCATTACTTATTTTATCATAAAGGGTTTATCGCGATAATGTTTGTTTTTGCAGTTTCAATAGAACCTATAGCCACTGCTTAATAATTTTGTTGTAGTTTTCGCAATGTACCTGGTTAAAGCTTTATTTTATAATTGAGTTTTTATGAGCAATTAGGTCTCATTTGTTGTCATAATAGTTTACTATAAATCTGTTGGAGCTAGAATGTGTATCAGTCTGAGAGATTTTAGTATAATTACCCTGTCAATGGTTACCTTCTTAAATTCTGGACAAGAGGCCTGCAATTGTTGTGTTTAGGTGACTAAATCATCGGTTACCATCATAAATATTCCAGGTATCAGTCTGTTTCTGGTATGGTAACATGGTCAACACTTGTCGTCATAAATATAGAAGGCTTATATTTGTCAATCAACTCTAGGGTAACCTCCCAATATGGAAAGATAAGGTATTTCATATAAATACTGGTACAATATTTTCTAGGGGCATTCAGGACAACACAGGGATAAGAAGTAAAAAAATGATATTACTGTATAAGGATAAAGAAATGAACGTCTAAATAAGTACAAAATTCTAAATTAGCAATTGCAGTATGTATATGTAATGGCGCATTTAACAATACATGCTTCAGCACATGCTTAATGTCTATCTAATCTTCTAACTAGAATACACATAAACAACGATTTGCGTAACACAAGTTTATATAATTCATGAATAATGTTGACAAAGAAGGACCAAACAGGGTGTCATTAAGACGCTGAAAAATTGTGATCTCACAGCAAATGCATTTTGTAATTCTACATCAAAATAAGTTCATTTCACTTTGTTTCTCGGTAACGGTTGGTAACTAAAAGCGTGTTATTTCAACTTCGTATTCTGTGGAAACATCATTTTTGGAGAAGAATTCCTTGATAACGTTGACAGACAGAATCAGTGCAGCAAAAAACATCATGCAACCACCAAAAACGAACGCGCCATCGTCTCCATCGTACAAATCTGACACGAAACCTTAAAACAAAACGTCATTTGACATTAATGTTATACTAGAAACCATGAATGACAGTATTTGTTGAAAGTTAAAACAGTTTTCTTTCACCATATATGACCAACATATTTGCAATAACCTTAAGCTGTATACCAAACTTGTGTATCTAGTCTATCTACATATAAATAGATTCCTAGCCAATGTTATCTACAGGACAATGCACATGTAAATATTGCTTATCTGTCTTTGTTTAAACAATTTAAGCGAATCAAAAACTACTTTTATATGCAAATAATGTATGTAATATAACACGCAGTTTACACCAGGTATTATCTTTGTATTGGATTAAGTAATAATAAAAAATATATGAATTCAGCTAAAATTTGTTAAAAAGCAATGCATAACCGATTCATATGACTGCCTGATAACCATTAAGTAAATTATGAACAAGCCTTACCTGCTAGAGGCATTCCCGTGGTTGAAGATATCCCATTAGCTGCAATGGTCAATCCCAATCCGACTGGAATATGAGATCTATCCAAGTAATGTGCCACTACGGCTGTATAAAGCCCAAAAAATCCACCTGAAGCAGAATTGTTCAATATGCAATAATACGTCCATGTATAATCGAAACATGTGAAACATTAAACAGACGTTGTTAAAGATACAATATTGAATATGGATGTCAGTAAACTAAGAAAGAATATACCACGAAACAACCGTCATAAAATAATTTACCTGAGAATAGTCCTAACAGCAGCGACAACACTATCAATGATATAAGAGATTTCGAAATTGCAAGCAATATAGTCGAAAAGGCAAGTCCTAAAAGCGTTAGGCCATGTATCCAAGGAACATGCTGGTTGAATCTAGTTGCAATGGCTCCACTTATCAGACGACCTAACAAGTTTCCAAATCCCATAACCATGACGCATGCAGATATTTCTTGCCTAGAACGTTGAGCATGTCGCATAAAGTCAGGAAGAAATGTTGAAGGGACAAAAATAACCGTGAACGCAGTGAAACTTGAGATGAAGAACACCATGAATTTGCAGTTTTTTAAAACTTCTATTGCCATCTTCCTTACTTTCAATGGTTCTGTGTGCTTTTTCGGATCATCTTTGTACTCTATATAAAATGACAACAAAATAATAAAACACAGTGTATATTCTATCCAGAAGTAATCATTGAGACATGAATGATTGGCAATGAGAGCATGAATATTTCGATATTTCAACTAAAGTATGTCCAAACCGATAGTTTTGAGCTTTTTATCAAGTAGGCTGAGAAAATTACAATAATTTAGATTGATATACATGTATCATGTAAAGGAACTATGAACAGAAAAAAAAACACATGATGTATCAATTAATTATAAAGAAATACCAGATTGGCCACATCATGACAAATCTCTCATTAACTTTGAGCCTAGTTTTGTTCTGGAAAACATTTCTGTACAGTTATGATTATTAATATTACTGATCGGTTTGTCAAAATTTGTTGTCACATTAATACTTATTCATAGTCTAATACGTTAAGAAAATATCCTTTTTTCATAAATATTGTAATTAGATTACATAATAAGAACATAAAACAATATCGTATATAAGCGTAGCAAATCATCTGGAAACACATGTCTATGGATACATACTATTTTCAGAATTAAAGGAGTGGATATCAAATGCAGTTTAAAAAAAATATAGACAATTCAATAATATTAATGTGTATAATAAACAACAATCTACATACTTCTTAACCCCAATAGAAAGACTGTTTAATGCTGCAGATGTATGGCGTATATGCAATCTCATTAAAATTATCTCTGTCGCTTATGTATATAAATATGTTTATTGCAACAATGGTTATGTTTGTGCCTCTCGTATCGAGATGACAATTGCTAGAAAAATGAGCTTGAAACTACAATTAACAAAGACGAACGGAAAGGTAAACTCTGCATGCTATTTTGCTCCAGGAGAGCTTCTTTTTAGAATTGCAGCAAAAAGAATTACCCTTAGCGTTGTAGACTTCACGACAAAATAATTTCCAAGTTACTGATAATAGAATGCAATTAAAATATCAAGCTTGACTAGATAAAATAAGATTACACCACCACCGTGATCGTTGTAAATCCAATCTAAATATATGTAAATAAATGATTTGTATCCCATGGGCACTACTTTGAATGCAACCAAATGTAATCAAAATGTTACCGATTACATTTAAAGAGTAATCGTAATTTGATCAATTACATTTTTTAATATTGATCAATCAATATTATTGTTATCTTGATAAAAATTACAATTGTGTAATCATTATACATGTATGATGAAAAACATCAATAAGAAATGTGATCAACTTACCATCATGGTGTGCTTCTTTTGATATTTTTGTATCAATGTCTTTGTCCGGTGCTACATAAGAAGCAGCACTGAACAAACCAACGGCTGATGTTCCACTTAGCAACATAAATGTTGTTTTCCAGCCGTAACTTTGGATACTCGCTGTCAATACAGGTGGAAATACAAGAGAGCTTACAGCTGAACCAGAATTAGCTATAGTTATTGCTAGTGGACACCATTTTGAGCTAAAATGTCGGACAATTATGGTATTGGCACAATAATGTACTATACCAGCGCCAACACCTGTAAAAAAGAAAACGTTTTCTTGATTGTATGTGAGAAGTTAGCAGTGAACAGTTAGCTAAGCAGAAAGGCATTTCAATTTATATAATGATCTGCTATAACGCTCAGCTGTTTTGGGCATCTAGCAGGACACTCCTAAATATAGTGTGAAAATGCTCTGCTGCAATACTCAGCTGTCTTGCCAATCAAGCAGAGCATTTCTAGCTTAATTGAAAAACAATGCTCTGCTGGACGCTCAGCTGGCTAGGCAATCTAGCAGTGCATTACTAAATATAGTGTTAAAATGCTCTGCTGGAATGCTCAGCTGGTTAGGCAATCTAGCAGGGCATTCCTAAATATAGTATAAAAATGCTCTCCTGGAATGCTAAGCTGGCTAGGCAATCTAGCAGGGCATTACTAAATATAATGGCAAAATGCTCCCCTGGAATGCCAAGCTGGCTAGGCAATCTAGCAGAGCAGTACTAATTAATATAGTGTAAAAATTGCTCTGCTGGAATGCTAAGCTGGCTAGGCAATCTAGCAGGACATTACTAAATATAGTGTACAAATGCTATTCTGGACTGTTAAACTAGCTAGGCAATCTAGCAGAGCATTCCTTGTTATAGTAATAAAATGCTCTGCTGGAATGCTAAGCTGGCTAGGCAATCTAGCAGGGTGTTAATAAATATAGGGTTAAATGCTCTGCTGGAATGCTATGCTGGCTAGGCAATCTAGCTGGGCATAACAAAATATAATGTATGCCGATATCGGACCGACATTGAAGATGATATCGGGCCGACATCGGTTTATATGTAATGTTTGCTGGGAAATATAGTGTAAAAATTGCTCTGCTGGAATGCTGAGCTGGGTAGGCAATTTAGCTGGGCATTACTTAATATATGGTAAAAATGCTCTGCTGGAATGTTAAGCTGGCTAGGCAATCTAGCAGGGCATTCCTAAACAGATTGAGAAAAAATGCTCTGTTGGAAAGCTAGGCTGGCAAAGCAATCAAACAGGGCATTACTAAATATAGGGTAAAAATGCATTGCTGGAATGCTAAGCTGACTAAGCAATCTAGGCAGAACATTCTAAAATAAACTGCAAGATTGCTCTGCTACAATACTCAGCTGTCTTGACAATCAAGCAGGGCATTCCTAAATATAATGTAAAAGTGCTCTGCTGGAATGCTAAGCTGGCTAGGCAATCTAGCAGGGCATTCCTAAATATAGTGTTAAAATGCTCTCCTGGAATGCTAAGCTGGCTAGGCAATCTAGCAGGGCATTACTAAATATAGTGAAAAAGTGCTCTCTTGGAATGCTAAGCTAGCTAGGCAATCTAGCAGGGCATTACTAAATATAGTGTAAAAATGCTCTGCTGGAATGCAAAGCTGGCTAGACAATCTAGCAGAGCATTCCTAGTTAAAGTGAAAAAAATGATCTGCTAGAATGCTAAGCTGGCTAGTCAATCTAGCAGGGTATTACTAAATATAGTGTAAAAATGCTCTGGTGGAAGGCAAAGTTGGCTTAGCAATCTAGCAGGGCATTCCTAAATATAGTAAAAAAATGTTCTGCTGGAATGCTAAGCTGACTGGGCAATCTAGCAGGGCATTACTAAATATAGTGTAAAAATGCTCTGCTGGAATGGTAAGCTGGCTAGGCAATCTAGCAGGGCATTCGTAAATATAGTGAAAATGCTCTGGTGGAATGCTAAGCTGTCTTAGCAATCTCGCAGGGCATTCCTAAATAAAGTATAAAATTGCTCTGCTGCAATACTCAGCTGTGTCGGCAATCTAGCAGAGCATTACTAAATATAGTGTAAAAATGCTCTGCTGGCATGCTAAGCCAGCTCGGAATATAACCCAATTTTAATACTATATTTAAGATTGTCCCGCTTTATTGCTATTATTGCATTGTATTTAGGAATGCCCTGCGTAATTTCTTAGCCAGCTAAGTATTCCAGCAAAGCATTTTTACACTATATTAAGGAATGTCCTGCAAGATTGCCAAGACAGCTGGGTATTACAGTAAAGCATTTCAACAATATATTTAGTAATGCACTGCTAGATTTCCTTGCCAGCGGAACATTCAAGCAGGACATTTTTTCACTATAACAAGAAATGCTCTGCTAGATTTCCTAGCCAGCTAAGCATTCAAGCAGAGCATTTTTACACTATATAAAGTAATGCCCTGTTAAATAGCCTAGCCAGATTGGCATTCTAAAAAAGCATTTTTACACTATATTTAGTAATGCACTGCTAGATTGCCTAGCCAGCTTAGCATTCCAACAGAGCATTTTAACAATATATTTAGTAATGCCCTGCTAGATTGCCAAGACAGCTGAGTATTGCAGCAGAGCAATTTTACACTTTATTTATTAATGTCCTGCTAGATTGCCAAGATAGCTGAGTATTTCAGCAGAGCAATTTTACACTTTATTTAGGAATGCCCTGCTAGATTGTTTTGTCAGCTTAGCATTTCAGCAAAGCATTTTTACACTATATTTAGTAATGCACTGCTAGATTGCCTTAGCATTCCAGCAGAGCATTTTTACACTATATTCAGTAACGCAATGCTAGATTGCCTAGCCAGCTAAGCATTCCAGCAGAGCTTTTTTACACTATATTAAGTAACGCCCTATTAGATTTCCTAGCCAGCTTAGCAATCAAGCAGAGCATTTTTACACTAAATTAAGGAATGTCCTGCTAGATTACCAAGATAGCTAGGTATTACAGAAAAGCATTTTAACACTATATTTTGTAATGCACTGCTAGATTTCCTAGCCGGCTAAGCATTCCAGCAGAGGATTTTTACCATATATTTAGTAACGCCCTGCTAGATTGCCTAGCCAGCTTAGCATTCCTGCAGAACATTTTTTCACTATATTTAGGAATGCCTTGCTAGATTGCTAGCATTTTTGCACTATATTAAGGAATGTCCTGATATATTGCCAATACAGGTGGGTATTACGGAAGAGCATTTTAACACTATATTTAGTAATGTACTGCTAGATTTCCTAGCCAGCTGAGCATTCCAGCAGGGCATTCTAACACTATATTTAGTAACGCCCTGCTAGATGCATAGCCAGCTTTTCATTCCAGACAATTTTTGCACTATATTTAGTAATGCCCTGCTAGATTGCCTAGCAAGCTAAGCATTCCAGCAGAGCATTTTTACAATATATTTGTAACGCCCTGCTAGATCGCCTAGCCAGCTTAGCTTACCAGCTGAGCATTCCAGCGGAGCATTTTAACACTATATTTAGTAATGCTCTGCTAGATTGTCTAGCCAGCTGAGCATTTTTGCGACGGACGCACCCTCAGGCGCGTTCAGAGTTATGTCATCTACACATGGAATTTCGACGTCTACAATCAAAAGAGTCCCGAACCGAATAACATCTAACAACTACCGTCCTGTTTCATAAACTTCTATTGTATGTAAAATGCTGGAGCGAAATGTTAGACAGGGAATTATTGAACATTTGAAAAGGCATGATATGTTGTCGGATAGTCAATTTGGATTTAGGGACCATAGAAGCACCATTTTACAGCTATTATCAGTATTGGATGATTGGACTGAAGCTTTGGATGAAAACTTACAAGTTGATTCTGTTTATTTTGATTTTGCTAAGGCATTTGATACGGTTCCCCATAAACGTTTACTTCATAAACTTTCAGCATATGGCATTACAAGGAAATTGCATCAATGGATTCAAAGTTTTCTTTTAGATAGAAAACAGCGTGTTGTAATTAATGTTAATATATCCAAGTGGAGTAATGTTATTTCTGGTGTACCACAAGGATCAGTATTAGGTCCATTATTGTTTGTTGTCTTTGTGAATGATATTCCTTAAGCGGTTAAATGTGTTTGTATACTTTTTGCTGATGATACAAAATTATATCGAATTATGAGAAATATGTCTGATCAACAATTACTTCAAAATGACATTAATACACTATGTAAATGGAGTGACGACTGGTTACTCAGATTCAACTCTAGCAAATGTAAGATAATGCGGATTGGAAACAGCAATTTTGATACAAAATACAAAATGAAAGACAACACTGGTATTGATGTTGATATTGAAATCATTGACAAGGAATAACACTTAGGTATTAATTTTGCGTCTAATTTGAAATTCGATGAGCACATCGGTCGCACTGTTAATAAAGTAAACTCACATATCGGGTTGCTGAAAAGAAATTTTGTTCACATGGATAAGAAGCAATTTTTGTTATTGTATAAAGGTCTTATAAGACCAATCACTGATTATGGAAATATCATTTATTACCCTGTAACAAAGAAAAATAAACAACTAATGGAAAATACCCAAAGAAGAGCTACAAGAATCATCCCTGAACTAAGAGGACTCACATATGAACAAAGATTAAGGGCTTTGAATTTACCAACTCTTGAATAAAGACGTCAACGTGGAGATATGATACAAGTTTTTAAACTTATTCACAAAATAGACGATTTTGACTATGAAAATTTATTCAAATTATCTGTTACAAATCATGAAATCCGAGGACTTTTTTATAAATTAGAAAAGTTAAGACCACTAAAGGCAATAAGACAAAATTCCTTCACTTATAGAGTCGTAAACGAATGGAACCTACTTCCCAGTGAAATAGTTTTATCAAAGAATGTAAATGAGTTCAAATCTAAATTAGATAAACACTGGCAATGGAAGAGATTTAAAATGGACAATATATATTAGATAGACCAATACCGGAGCGGACGACACAGAAAACGGAACTCGAGGGGAATGATAGTCCGTTAGGGGACTAATAAAGTTTCCCAAACATCACAATGTATCACAAGGTATAAATAGTGCACGATTTAATAACATAAAGCACACACATTATGTCGAAATATGTGGAAAACGTTTATGTTCTAGTTTGATTACAAAGACCGTTAGTTATCTGACTTATAAGATAAACAAATAAATATCATATAAACGAGAAAATATCGTTACAATTGCACTACTTTGACCTAATTTGTCCAATCCGAAGTACAGCCAAA